TTACTGCAAGGTTTATTTAGCATTAACCACTAATAAAAGTACATCCTGATGTTTGATCAAGGGGGTGTGTGTGTCTATATTTAAAATGAGTGACCTTGATTTAAAGAGATAAGTAATTTCACTGCAAAATGAGGGCAAAATGAATGCATCCATGCAGTTCACAGTCACAATAACAAATGTGAAAGGTAGTGACTACATTAATAAAATTGCAAACTATTATTTCAGAGACTCCAGATTCATTGTTTATGGACTTGTATTTGGAAAGACAGATGGAACCTCTTTCTTGCTTCTCTTCTATGTTCACGTGCATTCCTTAATATAGAATGATGCTCTTTAAAAAATAAAAACAAGACCAAACCAAACCCCAAAACAACCTAGCCTTGAGAAGCTGGATAGTAGCACACCCATGTAAGGATGAAGCACAGGAATGGAATTTGAGGAAGGGGGAAAATCCTTAACTATGCAGAGATACTCTAAACAGGAAGACTTAAATGTTTTTTATATGATGGAGAACCTCAATAATCTTTATTAAACACTGCTCTAACTGTCCCTGGATTCTATATATAAGCACAATTTTTTCAAGATTGCCTCTTTACAGTCACCTTCACATGAAGGTCGTGTGTCAGTGTGAAGGCTAGTAGAAAACATATGGGTATAAATACTTGCATTGAGCTGAGGTGATTGTCAGGCTAGACAGGATATAGTTCTAGTTCAGTTTTAAGAAAACTAATTTATATTTCAGCATTTACGTATTCAGATCTGAGAGGCTAACTTTTACTTTTTTCCTTATATCTGTTTTTGAAGGTTGCTGAATCTCTAGGAATCACAGAAATACTCAGTGGAGAACAGAAGATGCAAGGTGCAGGCTCTCATTCACAATGTGTAATTAAAATGGTTAGTGAGCAAGTGCCTGTGGATGTACTGGGACAAAAACGGTTAGCTGAGGTATGGAACACCTTTGTGAAAATTAACAATGAAACTAAGACAAATTAAAACTTTCAAAAGTACATAATTATTCCTTATAATATCATGCTGGTATTATCTGAGTCATGTTAAAGTAAGGCTTTTGTGGAGTTCAGAAATACTGAAAGTACTCTCTGCTGTGGTATTATAGCAGGGCATATGAACTAGCACACTAAGTATGTGCTTTGGGATGACACTTGGTAGCATTTAGGACAGGGTATCAAAGACTTACAGGTCTTTGATACAGGGACAAAAGAACTTCCTTGAGGTGCTGATAACTGGGGGCTCCACAGATTCAAACCTGTGTTAGAGGAAATGGCCTAACCTACAGCAGGTTCACACACTGGAGAAGTGCTAATTGGTGTTGGATAGAGGGGCATGAAAATGGTTTTCTTTCTGACAAGTCAGTCGATGAGCTTCTATTTAGAGCTGTAGCAGACAGCTGTGTTTCATCTCCCAAGAGTTTTGGTGAAATGTGAGGGTTGTGTTTAAAATCTTTACCTCTTAGGAAGACCTTTAGTGCAAATCCTGATTTCAAGGATCATCAGTTCACTGTCATGATGTTTCAACAGTTATCTTTTCCAACTGTTACATGGGCAGCAGTTAATCATCTTTTGTATTGACAGAGCTCAGGGGAAGAACTGTTGCCACCAGCCAAAAGGAGCAAGTTAGAAGATGTAACAGAGAATGTGAACAATGCTTATGCCAGTCAAGATGAAGTGAAAGAAAAGAGTGAGAATTTGTGTACACTGTTTGAAAAAGATGGTAACCTCTTCAGATTTCCCAGTTCAGTTCTGTTCATGGAGGAGCTGAACATATCTTTGTTCTTCAAGCTACTATGTTTTTTTTTTCTTACAGTTTAATTTCTTAACTTGCTTCCCAGGTCCTTCAAAAGCAGCTGTTTAACTGAAAAGGCCTCATGAGGAGGGAGAAGTTACAGATGATGCAGACAGCAGTAGCTCAATCCTGGATGCATGATAATCAGTTATTGATACTACTTATGAGCATAGTACTGTCCTCTGCTGGGTGCTTCCTGTCTGTCCTCTCCCTCATAACCATTGTGTCAGTTGGGGGAGAGCAGAGGAAGAGGAAGCAGAGTGCACATCCTTCCTCTTGGCCCCAGCCAGCTACAATAGCAGAATTACCAGAACTTTGTGGAACTTGGGGGAAAGGGAGAGCTGGTGTAGGCTGTCCAGTATCCATCATTGCCATACATCTTGTATTGGAATTGAGGCACCATTGTGCACCACAGTCTTAAGATGGTTGCCTTTCTTTTTATTCCTTCTTCATGTTTCATCCTGCTGCCCTTCACATTAGCATGGTAACATTATCTAGTAAGTTAATGTCTATCAGTACCGTCCACTTTATAAATACATTATTTTGGTATTGCTGTAAGTGGCCTTTGCATGTCTTTCAGTCAATTGTTTTTTCCCTCCCTTTGATTTTCTTTCTCTTAAAGGCTCTCTGCATGACCATGCTTACTTCTTTCTGCACTGATTTTCTTCTGGGCTATGAATTTTTAAAATTGTTTTGCTTGTGCCTGCTAGTAGGGTGTTTGCTAGTCTACATTGCAAAATGTTAAAAATAGTTCTCTCTGCAGTGTTAGGTCTCCTTTTTTTGTGCAGTGGTATCTTTCATAACAAAAAAAAAAAAATCCAAAACCAAACCAACTTACTTGTTCCTTCTGACCTTTATTATTAAAGGCTGACTTCTCATAATGCTGCAGCTTAGTAATTATTGTTCACCTAATTTCAGGGTTTGGGACCCTGGTCAGGTCCAGGTCAAGTAACTGGTAGAACACTGCATTTCTTGTCGTTTTTATTTTTCTGGCACAGGACAAAAGTGCTGCTGGGGCTCTTAGCACAGTTAATTAGTATGTAGTAACCTGATTCTATGTCTGAATCCAGCATGAGCTTGACTAGGAATAGAAATTTAAACAAAAATTTAAATGCTTTAATCAGCTTACTAAGTAAGTGATGAGGATGAGCAGCTGACAAGTTTCTGGTAAAGTCTTTATCTTTTAATGTTACTGGCTGCATGACAGATGGAAGAGAACTGAGTTTGCCTTTCAGCCCAGGTTGTTTTCAGGATGAACAGAAAAATGCTGCCTCTTAATGTAAGGTTTCTTAATATAGAAATACTTGATAAAATAGCACTATTCAAAAATTCCTTAAATATTTTTATAGTAATTTTCTCTATGAAATTCCTGTAAGGTGCTTCAGGTTGGCTAATTTGAGGGAAGCAAAGCAATGAAGTAGTCTAGCTTTTCCTCCAAAATTATTGCTGAAAAATAATTTTTTTGGCATATAATATTAGATCACCCAACAAAATAATACTTCTCTCCCCTTTTCAGGTTTTAATCCATTAAATGGAGAAATCCTGCTTTCAGAAGATAGGCGTATCACTTGCTATACAACTGGAAGTACATTACAGGCAACAGAGGAACATAATTCACTTTCTGATTCAGGAGTTAGAACTGATGGTGAAAATTCAGGTACCTTCTCCCAAACTGTGGAAATGAGGATAGAGTATCCCCAGCCTGTGAGCATACCAGGACCAGATGTGGCAGGTGAAGCTTCTCTGCTGCAGACTGAAGTCGTGCTGCCTGTCGGAGCAGGCGGCTCGGCTGGGCTGGTTCAGGCGCGCTTTGTGAGCGGGAGTGCGGCGGGGGCACCGGCAGCTCCTGAACTCCGCAGCTCCATGTCAGAGCCAGCAGTGGCCAGGCACAGCACTGGCCTACCAACGAGTGAAGAAAAGGGTCACAGTCAAAAATATCATGAACTGCAGGAAGAAAACCCTAATTTTACAATTACAGAACATTCTGGGCAACTCCATAATGCTGACATGACTGATGAGATGCAGGAACTTGAAAAAGTTTTTTCAACAAACGTTGTGCCAATAAACTACCCCCACTGTGCTCAAGCTGAGTCGCACCAGAACGCTGTCCAGGGAGCCTCCCTGCCCACTCATGGGAACCAGGAAAATACTTTCAAAAACCAGAGTGAATATTCTTGTGTGACAGAGGAAGCACACAAGCTGGCAAATACAGTTACTGTAGATGAAACTGTAGCTTTTGAGATTTCTGATGAGAGCCATGATTTTTTGTCTCAGGGACAGGAACAGATTTTTATTCAGACTTCAGATGGGCTTATCTTGTCTCATCCAGACACTGCTGTTTTGTCTCAGGCGGAAGGCATCGTTATTGTGACTGATTCCAATGGTACTACAATGCACATTCGTACACCTGAAGGGATACCTCTGGAAACAGTGGAAGCACTACTGGCAATGGAAGCAGGTGGCCAAAGTGAAAATATTTTACTCTCGCAAAGTGAATTTGAGCCATAAAATAGAAAACCCTATAAGCTTTCTTCTGGAAAAGACTGAGTATAAAATGTATATTTTTCTAATGTGAATACTGAGATAATGGAAATTTAACTTATTTGTAAACTGTTTCTATGCCCTGTACTTTTTATAACTTATGTTTATATAAATCTAGCAGCATTGCAACCAAAAATTCTAGAATTAACATTGTTCTATTTGCTTTGTATGTTGGGGATGGGTGGAAAGTGGAAATTTTGTCAACCCTAAAACTTGCACTGTTCCCTTTTGTTACGTAATTCCTTTTCTCTATAGCCATCTAAAAATGCAGTTGTACTGCTGTTCAGCAGTGATGTGCTGTGTACTGGCAAGCTGTATATGGGTAAAATAAAAGCTGTATTAAAAATGTGCATTTTCTGTGCTGCTGAGATTACAAAACACTGTTATTGCACTTTTAAAAAGCTATCTTGAATATTCATTAGCATCTAGACTTGATGCACATAAATCTGCCTGGAATAATGGGCAGGTTTAAGTATAATCCATAATAAACTTGTGCATTCTGGGAACAATGTGACAGCCTAGCTTATCCTTACTGAAATAAGCATTCACTGAGTTAAGAGACAGAAATAGTTTCAAAGAAGATCTGGTTTGTACTGAACAATTGGAAGTACAATTGAAAGTATTTAAGTTGCTTGTCTAATGTTCAGCCACACCTTTAAAAATTGCTGTTGCGTAGACATAAAAGGGAAGATGCATAAGTAGTGATCTGATTTTCCCTAATGTGGTACCAAATTCTTTTTTCGCTTTAGTCTATCATGGCCTATTTTTGTTAGACTAGTATTACACTTTTCAGATGATGCATCCTTTATCAGTTCTACACTTCAACCTTCCCAGTAAATCCACACTGCCTTGTACTGTTTAATCATAATGCAAAGGGACTGTTGCTCTAGGCAGGGAGAAAGCTTGGCAAATTACTTGAATTCTTGTCATACTTAAAGGTGATCCTTGGATCAAGTTATATTTTTGTGGAGACATACTACCAGCATCTTATCCAAGGCACTGTCTTTTCTTTCAAGAAGTTTAGCAGGTGAAAAAGAACAGCATTAAATGAGCAGACATTACTGAAAAGTGGTAACAGATCTTTAAAATGTGTGTCACCTCGTTACTGAAGAAATGCAACTACTGGGACATTGGACAAATCTGTCACAGACAGGAGGCAAAATCAACAAATTAAATCTTAAATCAAGTATCAACACAGATTTTTTTTTCATAGTATTGTTACTGAAGAAAAATAATAAAATTTAATCTAAACAGAATACAATTAACAGATTAAAAACTGCTCTATGTCCCTTTAAACATAATTGGGTAAGGCTTTTCTGTTTGGTGGGGTTTTTCTTGGTTGCCTAAGTAGAAGCTGAATTCAGTTACCCAGAATGTTGCCCTTTATGAGTAGTTACAGTGAAAGATACTGTCCATTAATGAGTTATTAATGAGCTACTTGTTCTGGGTTTTTGTCCCTCTTTCTTTAGGAGGTGGTAACTGCCAGAGGATACAGACCTACTTTGTAAGTGAAGGCAGCATTCAAGCAAAGTTCTGTTGGTCTTTCAAAGTCTTTGCAGTGAGCATTTCTTTATAATACTCTTTGTACTGACTATCTAATAATTATACTTGAGGCTACAAATACAACAATCAACTGCTTAGAGGTAGAATCAGAAAATATCTCTACAATGATTTTGCAGTAATCTTCCAGTGCCCAACAACAATCAATAAGCAAGAGGGTCTGTGAATATGAAGACCCCTTCCTGAAGAGCTTTTTTCCTCTTAAGGAATGAGAGCAAACCACAATTTCCACCTGTGCAGAAAATGAAAACTTGCTTCAATTTTGCCTTCCCTATCAATTTGCACATGCTGGGAAATAGAACACACCTACTCTCATCTTAAAAGAACAATTCTATATGTGAACTGATCTCTTCTCCTTGAAAAATATTTTTGAAGTACTGAGATGTTTCCATAGTGACACAGGTCTGGCCCAACTCAGGTGAATTAAGGTGTCTGTTAAACTAAGTGAAACACTTCCACTGAAAAAAAAAATAACCCAACAAAGCTGTTCCTAACTTTATTCTCCTTGAGTTACAGCAGAATTTCTTTTTAGATGCTGGAATCGTGGGCCAAGGATAGACTCTTATTAGCTACTAGAAACAACCTCATTGTTCAACAGAGCAACATCTCAAGAAAACTTGCCAATTCATGTCTGTCTGTCCTGCTACTGCAGGAAACAGATGTATTTCCCCTACTAAGCTTATGATTTTTCAGCTTGGGACTAATTAGGTAAGTGACCCTGCTTTTCCTATCAGTACAGAGGGAAGGGCACACCTTCAAACCAAAACCATTTGACATCAGTAACAGTAACCCAAAGAAAAACGCACTGAGCCCTATGACAGGGAGCAAACAAGATGGGATACAGCCTCAACTAAAGCAGGTTTTGTTTTATTCAACAGATGCTTTCATGAAACATCTCTTGAAAAAGAAAAAAAAAAATCAATTCAAGGGGACAAGATCTTATTATATAATTTCTGTATAATGCTGACTTGTTCTAAACCTTCCCCAGTTGCTGGCTCAGGCTTGGATCACTCTTTTGAGTGTTTTGATGTACCCAACAACACCAGAATCAAAACCAAGCCAGAATTTGCACTATTGTGTGCAACAACAGCATTTCAAAATCACATACCATGTGATACTATGTGGATCCTTTTGGATTCTTCTTTTTGTGCTTTCCTTTCCTCCACATACAAAGCCAACTACAAAAACATTTTCCCTGTTAATTCATGCAAAAAATACCCCATGAAAGATCAAGAAGTGCTGAATTTCTATTGTAAAAGGGACCATACAGGTATTTTAGGCTGTTCAGATTTGGGAGGAAATTACATTTTTTGCTGTAGCTTCTATATGCATTGAATCCCCCAGGCTTACCTCTTTCTGAATATAGAGGACTTAGCCTCTTACCTGTAGCCTCTGTGTTGCCCTTAAAACAGATAAAAACAACCTGAACTAGATTTCCCCAAGCAGAAAAAGGAGTATCAGCTGAGACAAAGTAAGGAATATGAATAGAGAAAAATATTTTTAATAAGTTTTACAAAAAAAATCAACTTACTTGGTAAGCCTTGCAATATGCCAATTCAGTTTCATGTAAGCACCACTAGAAGCCAGCCATGTAACCTTTGGAATTCTAGCACTGCCTGTGTCCTGTTTCCAGCAGCATGGCTTCAAGCAGCAGCATGCTGCTGTTCTCAATGTAAGGCTGGTACAACCACGAGGATAAATACACCATCATCAGATCCTGGTCAGCAGAATGAGCTATGTCTTGTACAATTGTTTGCTTGAGTTGTAGCTCCTTCTTGTACATTTCAGACAGCTTCAGAGAAACCTCATCTGAAATGGATTTAAAAACCAAACACATTGACCAAAACATTTCAGCAATTCTGTAAAAGCTAAATTATACTTGTGATATATGGATCATAAACACCCCCTACCTTACATAAGCTATTCCCCAAATTTAGCTTTTTTTTACAGCATTAATGATGTTTTTACATTAGAATATAAAAAGCTAAACAATTTCCACAGCTTTGGGATGTATTTTACACACTGCTGATTATGAGTCCGCATTTAATAATAGAATAAGCAGTGGTATTGGTTCTCAGGACCCACTGTAAAATTATCAGTTACAGCTATACCTGGAGTAACTGAAATTTGATTTCAAAATTTGGTAATGCAATACAAGCTTCACATTTTAGAGTCACTCTTGATTTTAGCTGATCTTAAGGATGCCCTCACATGCTGTGATGCACTTCAGCAATGCATGATCACCAATGAGTAATAACAATAGTGAAAAGCAACAGTAAAAAAAACCGCAACAGACCAAAACCAAAGCATTTATTGCAAAAACTGTTACTAGTTATGTTAGTACAACTGGTAGGGGGGTTAAAATGCATCTGTAATCTTTCACTGTTTGAATCCCTAAAAAATAACCACACAAAGTATTTTTAAAGAGAGACTGATCTTGTGCTTCCAACTTAGCCTGAACTATCATTGCCTTCAGAAGGATTTAGTCTGCCATGGAGTAGACAGCATCACTAAATGATTCAGTCACAATGGGTGTTTTGACAGCAGTTGTCTTTGTCATTCTTACTCTTTTAAGCTGGCAGAAACTAATACATAAGATTCCTGCTAAACTGTGGTAGTGAAGTAAGAAGCCGAGCTTCACAGAAGGATGTTTTTCACTTCACAAAGAAGGCAGTTGGTTTGCATGCAATCAGGCTTCCCTTGAATTCAGACAGTTTTAAAACTGGAGAAATACCAGTTGGGAGGCAGTACCTTTTGCCATCAAGTGAACGCTAAAAGAATTAGTATTAACAGTAGAGTGTAACATTTCTTTACTTGTCTTGATTGTCACTGAGATCAGAGGTATTTTTCTTTGGCTGCTTGAGAATTAACTGAGGTATAGCTTTCTCTTTGCATTCAAGGATTTAATTTCAGTGTCAAGTAACAAGTCAAGTAGTTAAGCCTGCAGCTTAACACCAGCAAGTTGCAAATACGTCTCTGCCTGCAGAGGATGTGGCTGTTGCAGCTTGGACACTGTACGATGCTGACAAATTTAGTTCTATGCTGTAATTGTTGCATGTCAGACAATGCTTGGCAGTCATCAGCAGTAACCCTTTATAACCAAGTAGTGCTTTTGTGTGTTTATTGATTAGTCACTTGTAGAAGAGACAGCACTCTCTCTCTCTCAGGCAAGACATCCAGATAAGAGGGCTTATTTTTCCGTCATAAATTAGATGACACTGATGACACAATGTAATTAGCTAAGACAATCAATATTTTACTTACAGAAGTGCGGTGTGGGCCATGTATGAAAGAAGGGTGCCATGCAATTCCCAGCTCCGTGGTGGAATGTTTCCAAGTCACAGATTGCTTTAGTAGTTGAAGTAAGCTTTTCCATTTTCAGTTGTATTTTTGTCTGAAAATGATGAACATGGAACATTAATGAATATCTCAGGAACATTAGGCTACTATAATCTTAAGCATTTTTTAAAATACACTATATATGAAGGCTATTTAGTATTAACATTTCTAACTTACATTTTTTAACTCCAGACAGGAATCAAAACTGGAATCTATATAAAAACTTAATATGAGATACCCTGAAATTTTGAACACTGTTATGTATGACTCAGTTTTGGACATTCTTTTGTCTCCCCACATGTAGAAATACACTAAAGCCCTCTCATTTTTTCACCTCCCTAATTCTTCCTATAGCAATTTAGCACTGGGGAAAAACATCACACTGGTATAGCACAAGCCCTACCAAGATATTTTCTTACATTACTATATTGAGATGACTTTAATTTCCAAAGATCAGCAGCAGGTGAGAAAAGCAGCTCAAGCTACTTCAGCTGATCTAACAGCTTGTCTAATGTTCAGAAAATAGGTCATTCCATCCATTTCCCTCATGTTCATCTGAGTTCATGCATTCAGGTATGAATATTTACACCAAAATGAAGCTTGCAGGCAGTATCTTTACATCAAGCAGCTAAACCACAGATACACAGATATATCTATGAGCCTGTAAGCTCATGTATAAACTCCTAAGGAATGAAAAATAAATTAGGTCATATTAGTTATGTTTAGTATCCAATCTAACACTGGCTGCTTAGACTCCTGTTACTCAGGAAGAGTAAAAACTTTCATCAATGCACTTGTAGTGTGAACACAAAAGTACATCAAGGGAAAAAAAACAAAAAAGAAAATCCCCATATGTTTTCCCCACAGAACAAAATCTGAGGGAAATCTAGCCAGTTTCCTGCTTTTTCTAAATACTGGAAGACTGTATCCTGTCTATATAAAAAAAGAGATCTCACATCCTTTTAATGGGCCTCCACTTTGGCGAAAGGCTATAAAAGTTATTTTTAGTAAGAATTTCAAATTACAGTATCTGGCAGAAAAAAAATTGTTTGCTTCCTGTCATACTGACAGGTGACATTAATTTCTAGCAAGGTATCCAGAAAAAAAGGTGGGTTACATAATAATTATCTTACTCCACTCTCCAGAGAAAGAGATCTGCACAGCAAATACAGGTAGGCAGGCTAAAAATATGACTGCATTACGTCTTATCAAGACAGCTGCAAGGATATGATGGCAGGTAAAGCACTGCTTTATGCTTTGCTGTTTCTTTTGTTTTAAACAGAGGGAATATCCAGGATGAGAAACAGAAAACAGGTGCAGTTTTGGAATGCATTCTTTGTATGATTTGTTTTCAGATCACTTTATAAAAGGGGGAGTAGAACTATAAGCCAAAAGAAGATGCAAAATCAGCTTTTAAATTTACCAATCAATCAAATAAATGGTGCACTCTGGATTTATAGTCATTTAGGTTTGAAACCAAAGAACTATTAATGAAAGCCCCAATTTTCTGTCTACAATAAATACTTCAGGACATTTCCTTGTTACCAGAGCACACTTGGAATTGATTCATATTGACTAAGTCTGAAAAAGGCATATTACCATATGCTTTAAAGTCTCAAGTAATTCTGCACAGCACTTGTCCAGCTCTTCATTGTATTTTGGGGTTGGCTTTTCAGGTTCTGTGGCATTGTTATCACATGTTATCTCCAGTTTGTTGTCTTGAAACCTAAAATAGAAACATAAGGCAGCATATAAAACTACATATAGGTTTAGTTGAGCAGTGCAGATTTAACATCCTTGTGGTCTGATCCTACAAAATCTCTCATTCACAGGCTGTTCATGAGAATTCGTACATAAAAATAGCACAAAGCATAGCTGGCCATGTGAGCAAATGGGGCTAGTACCATAATAATCAGAGAAAAACAGAACTACTCTACCTTAGAACATGTGCTTAAAAAAACATTTACATGTGTTAAGATAACTCTTTTTTCCTCTTTACCTTGCCCTGTGCTGGAGGTTATTCTCTCGTGACCAAAAAGGTTAAGCCCAGGCTCCAGCTGCTCCACAGGACAATCTGGTTTCCCACCACAAACTCAATATTGGCAAATTTAAGCCAAGATATTTATCTGTGACCCCAGAGCAGCCAATATACAGTTACCTGCCCTATCTGGCAGACTTTCCCACACCAGCTGTAAACTCAGAGAGAGAGCTGCTAAAGAGCAAAAGCAACATCTGGCACCATTACAGCAAAATATTCCTCAGCCTGTACCTGTCAGAACCCTGTCAGAAAAACCCTCTTCAGCTGTCAGGGCTCTGGAGAAGCTGCTCAAAGTCCTGTTAGTGAAGGTTTTTTGTTACAGCACAAAAATAAAAGCTCTACCAAAGTGGGTTTTTTTTCAGTTTTTCTCTGTTTTTATTTTTTTATGGTGGTTGTGGTGCATTATTTTTGTTGACTCTTTGTTGGTTTTGTTTTAAATCATCACCATTGAAACTTTTGTCTGTCCAAATCACTGATTCTTTCTTTAAACCTTCTGAACTTTGGACTTGAGTTTTTTATGCCTCAATGTAAAATATGCAAGAGAATAAGGGAACTCACATGGGCTGAGATTTATGGAATTAGGTTTTAATTTGGTACATTATGTAAGTATTTAAAATATGTTATGTTTGATTATGTAAAATAAACATTTCCCATTTCTTGCAAATATCATTATTACAAGAGTCATTATTTGAATTTAAATGGTTTATGTAACCAAAAAATGCAACTGCTGAGTTTGATCTGAGAGCTAGCTTATCCACTGTGACATGTTCTTTCCCCATCTCCCAAAAGAACTTTCCAGTGAAGAAAGCAGATTAATCTCTCAATAAAAGAAATCTTTATGCTATCTTTATTAGTATTAGCATACTTACTGCTCACTGATCCTCATGTTGACTATTTTGTTTGCTGTAGTAAATCCATTATCATTTAGTCTTTCCCATTTCATCATTAAATTATGCCAGTCTGCTGCATTATCTTTAATTTTTCTTGCACTGACAGATAAAACAGGCCTTCTTGGAGTACTATCAGGGGGACTTTTTGCTGTATGAGAAAATAAAGATATTGAAGCCATTTAAAGCATACAGAAACAAATCAGTGCCCGGCAGCTATTTGTGTGAAGGATTTCCTTGATTTACTGGAAAATATTGATTAATGTAAAATGGAATTTACATTAACTGTCTTTGGTCACAAAATCTAATTCCTCTTCTATTTCTATTTGCAAGAAAACCAGGTTATTAAACAAATGCAAGCACATTCTGAGATGTGAAGCTGAAGCATGGACAGCAGTTGCTTTGTAGTGCTGGCAGACCTAGTAGTCTTCTGACATCAAAGGCCAGCCAGATGCTGATGCAATGTATGAGAGAGAAATCATGGCAGCAATTACTGTGCATGCATGCAGTGCTCATGCCATGAACATCAGAATTAATTCACAGCAACACATAAGCTGCAAGAGCTTGGGGAAAGGTTGGCTCCTGGTGAAGGTGGTGGGTGCTTTACTGCTGAGCACAAAGCCCTCGTTTCATGGTGTCTCCCTGGAAGGCAGACAGCTGTAAGAACCCGCTGCATGTCCTCTGATCACGCAAAACAGCCCCACCTTTTCACCGAAGGCCCTGCCCTGGCAGCCAAAGCAGGGCTCAAATCCAAGCCAAATACCCCGCCTAAATGTTTGCTGCTTCAACTTTTATCCACACAGATGCCTGAAAAGAGTTCATCAAATCAAAGACGTTAAGTCCACACAAAATCATAGACTGGGTCAGGTTGGGAGGGGCCACAGTAGGTCAGCCGGCCCAACCTTCCTGCAAGCAGGCCCATGCCAGAGCACATGGCACAGGATTGCGTCCGGACGGGTCCCGGCTATCTCCAGTGAAGAAGACTCCACAACCTCTCTGGCTCGTCTGTTTCAGGGCTCGGTCACTGCATAGTAACGAAGTTCTTCCACATGTTCGGGTGGAACTCCCTGTGCATCAGTTTCTGCCCATTGCCTCTGGTCCGGTTGGTTGGCACCACCGAGAAGAGCCTGGATCAATTCTCTTGACACCCACCCTTCAGATATTTATACAGAGATGTGGTAAAACACATGGGAGTCCCCGCTCCACCCGGGGCATCAGCGAGGTGCTGCACACGGTGCATATCGGCCTGTGGCAGTAGCTACCCGGCGGGCTCGCAGAGCACCACGGGCACGTTAAACCCCCTTAATTCGCTGAAAGAACGCCGGGACCCCACCGGTGGCTGCTCCCTGCTACTCTCCCATTCGTCTCCTCCGGCTCCCCCCTCACTCACCCGCCATGGCGACCCCGCCGCCCCGCGGAAGTTCGCTCACGTCCGGCCCCGCCCAGCCCGGCCCCCGAGCGGCGCAGGCACCGGG